GCCGGGAAGCAATTACCCCGCACGTGGCTCCGCGCCAACGCAGAGTTGCTGACTGGCGTTCTCTGGATGTAGGCTTGGGTGGTATTTTTTATTTTCTCGTTTTTCGTTAACTTTCCTTCCTGATCTGGTTATAAATGATTTATCATTTGTGTAATAAACATCATATATGTGAAAAAAAACTTAGGAAATGGAAGCATTTACACTGAAAGGAGAACAGGGTCATTCGGACAGACAGAATAGTGTAAGACCTGCGCTGACCAGAGCCTGGCGCTCACTGACCAGGTGCAGTCACAGAGACGGGCTTTTTCCTTTGTTCAGGTTTCGCCGTCAGGTATGAACACTCACCAGAGACAGTGAGAGGAAGAGGGGGACTCTCCACGACGGAGATGCCCGCGCCTCAGTGCCCTCTCTCTGTTCTCCTCCTGGGACTTTGGGCACGCGTGCACTTGTGCCTGGCTTGGTTTTCACGCTGCTGGGTCCAGGACTTGAAGCATGGCCCTGTGGGGGTCCCGCACCTCAGCCACCGAGCCGCTTCCCAGCCTCAACAGAGGCATTTTATGATGTGTACGAGGGAACTTCAGAATGACCATGGGAAGATGGAATTGAAGTATGAATTTATTGGGACCAGCAGATGACGTAATGGTTATGGCACTGGACTCTGACGTAGTTAACTGCAGTTCAAGTCCTAGACCTGGCAGCTTGAGACACACTGGCACGTGTGTATGCGTGCCTAAAGTCTCAAGCGGAGAATGGAGGAGCAGAGACTGCAGCACGGCCATCCCCCCGGGAGGCGATTTCTTGCTTTCTATCTGTCTTTCTGGCAAACACACACTCCTTATAGCAAAAATCTCTCTCTAAAAAAAAGTGGTTTATTTTGGTGCAAAATTTGAAATCCATCCATAGTTTTTGTTATGTGCATTTTCTTTTTTTTAAAATAATTACTTCATTCAGCATCATTTAGTATTGTTATTTTTGAGAGAGAGAGGAAGACAGAGAGGGAAAGCGAGTGAACAAACCTCCAGGCCTGGAATTTGAACCACGGTCGACCATGTGGGAGTCCAGCACCTTAACCACCATGCCACCTGCCGGCCTCCGTTATGAGTATTTTCTAAGAATCTTCTGGAGACCTCGGTACCTCTCTCTTGTGGCTGTTTCTTGTGTGTAGTAAGCACGCCCAAACCGACGCTGTCCTCCTGGCCGGGTCACTTCTCCCACGCCTGGGGCCTTGATCTTACTGCCACCTCACGGTTGGTGACAATTGCCGAACGTGGCTCAGGACGGCGCCAGGTTCTGCTGCCGCGTCTCCGCGTAGCCCGCACGGGAACGCTGCGTGGCCGGAGCGCAGCCGCGTGTGGTCCCGGGTGCGGCTCCTGCTGCAGCTTCCCCGTTCTGTCCTAGCAACTGCCCGTGATCACGTCCAGCACCATCGTGCGGTGCCGGTCCTGCCGCACCTACATCAACCCGTTCGTGTCGTTTGTGGACCAGCGCCGCTGGAAGTGCAACCTCTGCTACAGGGTCAACGACGGTGAGCGTGCGCCTCGGAGGGCGGGGGCCTCTGCTTTGTCAGCACCTGGGCTCCGCCTCAGGGCCTTCGAAGCAGCTCTCACGCCATTGTTAGCGGCGGGTGTGCAGGCCGGGGCGGGGCCCCCTGGCTGGCCCTCGGGTTACAGTGAGGACAGAGTGGACACACGGCGAACAGACGTGGCCCTGCAGGTCGTGTGTGCACACCAGCTCTGCTGCTCCCGGCGGCTGAGGGCTGTGTTTGCTTCATTTGACTCAGGCACACCGCAGCCCATGGGAGTGGACGCAGCGTGTGTGGACGCCACATGACGTCTGCTGGCCCCTCTGCACTCCTGAGGTCCCCCGTTGTAATTGTGTTCACATGTGGGTTTCTCTGGCAGCTTTCCAAGTCTCGTGATACAGCAAATAGACCCCAAGCTGAAGAAGCGACATTACTGTGTCCTGGTCTCTTCCCCAATTTCAGAAAATGTGGTTCTATTCTCCTGATCTGGTCCTTTCTTTTTTAAGAGATTTTTGCTATCAGGCACATGCGTTCACTGGAGAGACAGAGAGACAGAAATTGAGAAGTCACCCACCGGGGGGATGGCCAACTGCAATCCCTTCTCTTGGGATCTTGGGCATGCACGCACATGTGCCCGGTGTGAGTTATAAGTCGCTGGGTCCGGGACTCCAACCGTGGCTGGATATATGGGAGTCTAACAACCTAACTATTAGGCCAATCTGCTGGTCCCACCAGGCGTGAGCTTCAAGCCACTGGGTCTGGGACTTGAACTGCAGTCGACTCCGTGGGCTTCCAGCGACGTAGCCATTACGCCCTCCGCTGGCCCCTGCTCTGGTTCTTAAGGAGAGCCTAGCAGACTGGGCCGCAGGCACAGCGTGGGGACATGCGGAGGCGAGGCCCTGTTGAGGCAGGTGCGTGTCGCAGTCCCATGCCCTGCTGACTGCGCTGGCTTCCTGTCTCCCATCAGTTCCCGAGGAGTTCATGTACAACCCCCTCACCCGATCTTACGGAGAGCCTCACAAGCGGCCTGAGGTTCAGAATTCGACCGTGGAGTTCATCGCGTCTTCAGATTACATGGTAACTGCCCCGTCCAGTCGGTCGTGGCACGGGTGGCTGGTCCTTTGTAAGCTGTGGCTACGTGAGAGCTTGTCCGAAGTGAGGCGTGTGCAGCGCTGACCTTCCCGTGGTTTTCCCTCCTCGCAGCTCCGTCCTCCTCAGCCCGCCGTGTACCTGTTCGTCCTGGACGTGTCTCACAACGCGGTGGAAGCCGGGTATTTGACAGTTCTGTGCCAGTCTCTGCTGGAAAACCTAGACAAGTAAGAGCTCGTTACTCCCCGTGTGTGGGTAAGGGCTGACCCAGTGTTCGCCGGCAGCGTGTGGCCGTGTCTGCGGTGCACCACGGACCCTGCTGTCTCGGCCGTGGTTTGGGATTTTGTGCCTGAATCCCCGCTCGTAAAGGTTCCCTGTTTTTCAGGAATCTGGGTCTCCTCTGACAACTCCCTGGGCTCACCCTCGCTGCCCACAGGGGTGCAGACAGCTGGGCCAGGCCCACATGTGGGGTGGGTCCTGGCGCACTGGGGGGGAGCAAAGCAGCCCACGGCTGGGCCCACCCGAGGGAAGGAAGGCAAGTGTGTTGACACCTCCCACGCGTGTCCTCGCAGCCCGAGTCGCATGGCTGATGTGAGCCCACCTCCCAATCGCGGAGACTGGGGAGAAGAGAGTAGGGTCGCTCGGGGGATAAAGAGGGAGCCTCTGACATTCTGGCAGCCAGGGTGAATCCAGAACACGTCACATCAGTGAGACAAGCCAGGCCCAGGAAGATGCCGCCCGCCCTCCGTCCCGTGTGCGGTCTGAGGAGTGGCGCTCGTAGGAGAGAGTGGCTGTCACCACAGCTTTGGGGGAGGGGGAGGACGTCGTTCAAAAGGTGCAAAGTTTTGGTTAAGTAGGAAGAATAAGTTCTTAAAACTGTTCCCGCTAAGCTGCGTGTGCATGTAACCCCAGCTACCCAGGAGGCTGAGGCAGGGCGCTGGGGAGCTCAAAGCCAGGCTGAGCAAGGGAGCAAGACTCTCCGGAAGAAGTCAGATTACAGCAGAGAGAAAGGCGTTTTGGGAAGTAGATAAAACCAACAGTCACGCCTTTTCGGAAACATCTCTGGGAGAGGGGGGTTGATTGCCTTGCAGTTCCGGTTCAACCCCTGCCCAGGGCCGGGAGGTCAGGCGTCTCCACTCTCACTCACAGCCTTAGGGGTCTCACGGGGGCGAAGGTTAGTCTGGGGAAGCGTGGATCTTGATCAGTATTGGTAACTCCGCGCAGGCTGTTCTCTGCACGACCCAGCGCAGGCAGGGTCGAGGTGCCCGTCGGTCTCACAGCAGTGATGGCGCCCGGGCTGCGGTCCACCTCTGCTCGGCATCTTCCGCTGCGGCGGGTGCTGTGAAGACGTTGCTGAAGCCATGGATGACATGGCCTTGTTGGTGCGGCTGTGTAGTGTACTTCTGTGAGGCGCGGCACCGTGCAGTGCCAGGAAAACTTGACAGCCATGACATGGGGATTAATTGCCATTGACTTGCCACCGAATTTTGAAAACACAGTTTGAGCAGAACCTTTCTAAAAGACTGATGATAGACAAAACATTTCAATGTGTATAAATGGCATTTTTGGTTAAAATTTTACACGTTAAAATCTGATTTGTATTATATTCCGTCTTTTCTTAAAAAGTACTCATTTGCCCGTCTGCCTCTAAGTGCTTGAGCGACACATCGTACCGTAACGCTGGGACTGGGATATAAGCAGGTTTCACTTGAGATACTTCCGAGGAGGGTGGAGGAGGACCCCGCATGGCTGTCCCGAGAACCCCCTTTAGTCTGGGTCTATTGTTGGCTGCCGACGGAGGGGAGGTAGCTGCAGTTAGAGCTCCAGACCAGCCTCAGTGTCCTGAGCAGGGGTCCCCTTCTGGCCCTCCATTGAGGAGTAGTTCCGGCAGGGTCGGTCTCGTGCCCCTGGAAGAGTGGACGAGTGGTTCTCCTCTGGCCCAGCTGCCTGCCTTCCTGCGACGGTGTGTCGCCGAGCACTGAGCTCAGGGCTGTCACCTCTCCTCAGGCTCCCGGGGGACTCACGTACGCGCATCGGCCTCGTGACGTTCGACAGCACCATCCACTTCTACAACCTGCAGGAGGGCCTGTCGCAGCCGCAGATGCTGGTGGTGTCCGACGTGGACGGTAGGCAGCCGGGGCATTCAGCCGCGTTGTGTCATGTGTTCTCAGGGTGACTTGCACGCTACAGATCTGTTTTAGAGTAATCGTTTTCGTAAAGGCTTTTTACACGCGTGTGTTGCACACGTGTGTGCGTGTGCACCTGCAGAGCACGTGGGCTCATTACAACAGTATCATAGCGCACCACCCTGGGGGCCTGTCCAGAAGTGGGATTTTCTACTTTATTATTTTGATGTGCTTTGTTGATTAGAATGTGCTTTCCCGTAGACGTTTTTCTGCCTACGCCGGATAGTTTACTTGTGAATCTGTATGAAAGCAAAGAGGTGAGTGATTGATTTTGCTATTTCAACTAAAAGTTCTTCTAGAATGTTTACGTGTGTTTACTCGGCCCACTAACATGGCCCAACATCAACAACACGTCTGTCGCGCCCTCAGTTTGCGTCCCCAGAAATGCAGTGCCCTGGGTGACGCTCCGGAATGTCTGACACAGACGCTGCCCTCACCGCCCCGGTAACCCCTCCCTTAACCTTTGTTTCCAGCTCATCAAAGACTTACTGACTGCGCTACCAAGCATGTTCACCAACACGAGGGAGACCCACAGTGCCCTGGGCCCTGCGCTGCAGGCCGCCTTCAAGCTGATGTCCCCGACAGGGGGCCGCGTGTCCGTGTTCCAGACGCAGCTGCCTTCTCTGGGAGCAGGACTCCTGCAGTCCAGGGAGGACCCCAACCAGAGGTCAAGCACAAAGGTGCGTCCCTGTCAAGGTGGCTTCTCCACCCCTGTCGACCGTCACTGTTTGTCCATCGTCCTGCGTTTCCTGCTTCACTCATAAGAGAAAACCAGTAAGGAAGCAGGACTCAAATCACCTTTGTGGTGCAGTGTCTGCAAGACCTCGGGCCGCGGGAGTCGGTCCATCCAGCTCTCCCTGATGGACGAGACAGGCAGGTCGCCCTAAAGGCTCAGAAACCGTTTCACGGCAGAGGCGCAGCTTGCTTTTCTGACTGCAGTGCTCTTTTCTGTGAACAAGTAAAACGTACTAAATGTGAGCTATTGTAATTAACATGCGGGGCCGGCAGGTGGCATGGTAGTTAAGGGCACTGGACTCCCACATGGCCAACCGCAGTTCAAGTCCCAGACCTGGTGGCTTGCTTTCTCACTTTCTCTCTCTTTTGCTGTGTCCCTTTCTGGGAGAATTAAAATAAGTAAACAAGTAAATAAAGTTAAAATAATTCTTTTCTAAAAATAGAAAGAATTATTTCATTGTATTTATTTATTAGATCATTGGAAAAGTCATGACATATTTTTACATAGAAAAATACATACATAATGTATGTTTATAAACTATGCATGTATATACTATACACACACACACACACACACACACGTGCACATACAACTTTTTTTTTAAGGTTTTGTCATAGGGCATGAGTGCTTGCCAGAGAGACAGAGCAAGACAGTGAAAGGGAAGGTGAGAAAACAACCCCCAGGGGAGATGACCAGGCCTCAGTCCCTTCTCCTCCATTCTCCTCTTAGGATTTTGGACACTCGAGCACATGTACCTGGCCTGATTTTTAAGCTGCCGGGTCTAGGGTTTGAACCATGAAGTTGGCCACATGGGATTCAGCACCTTAACCTCCACCCCTCCTGCTGCTATGTTTTTAACTGCATTTTTTCATTGGAGAGTGTATTTAAATTTTCTGTGAGTTCTCTTAAACTTAAAATATATATATATATCTTTTAGTAAATGTGAAAATGCTCAATTTAAGGGAACCAGCAGTCAGCGTATTGGCTATGTCGCTGGATTCCCACGTAATCGACCGCGGTTCGCGTACCGGACCCGGTGGCTTAAAACTCACGCCGGGCGTGTGTGCGTGCGTGCCCAAGATCCCACGAGGAGAATGGAGGAGAAGGGATTGCGGCGTGACCATCCCCCCTGGGGGATGATTTCTCGCTTTCTGTCTCTATGTCTCTCTCTCTCTGTCTGGCGAGCGCACGCGCCCTATGGCGAAAATCTCTCCCAAAAAAAAAAAAATGCTCCATTTAATTAATTGCCACCAACCATTGACAAGTTAAATTGAATCGATGATGTTAGCTGTGAAAAACGAGAGGCCAGCAGGTGGTGTGAGATCGCGTCTCTGGACGCCCACGTAGTTGACTATGGTTCAAGTCCGGAACCTGCTGGCTCAGAACTCAGGCTGGGCACGTGTGCCCAAAACCCCAAGGGAATAGAGAAGGGATTGTAGGGTGGCCATCTCCTTGGGGGCGATCTCTCACTTTCTGTCTCTCTGGTGAGTGCAGGTGCCCTATAGCAAAAATCTAAAAAAAGAAAAAGAAAAATTAATACGATGCTGAATGCTAAGATTTTACGTGAAGATGGGGGGGGCACGCTCTTAACCCTTTATTTTAAATAAGAAATGAACATTTAAAAATAACGATTTATTTAATTTTATTTATTCATTCATTTATTTTAATTTGACCAGAGAAAGACACACAGAAGGAGTGAAAGCAAGCTGCAAGGTCCAGGACTTGGCCTGTGGTCGGGCACGTGGGAACGTCCAGCGCCTTAACCACCACGCCACCCGCTGGCCCTGGGACATTCACTCTTGTGTTGGGATGAGTTCTGTCTCCCCTCACCTTGTATTTGAGAGAGCGCCCTTGTAAACAGAGTAGAAACTAAAGCGTTTCAGGGACCAGCAGTTCGCATAATGGTTATGTCACTGGACTCCCATGTAGTTGACTGCAGTTTGAGGCCTGAATCCATCACACCGGGTGCGTGTGCGTGTGTGCCCAAGATCCCGAGAGGAGAATGGAGGAGAAGGGACTGTGGCGTGGCCATCCCCCCTCGGGGGTGATTTCTCGCTTTCTGTCTCTGTCTCTCTCTGTCTGTCTGGCGAGCGCACGTGCCCTATAGCAAAAACCTCTCCAGAAAAGAAGTTAAACTAAAGCGTTTGAATAGTGCTGAATGTGCAGCTCTGTGTTTAGTCTTCCTTACCATAAATCCCTAGCACTGCAGTTAGCAGGTTGCCTCTAGCCATGGTTAAATAGTGTTGCAGTATTTTGCTGGAGAAAATGGATACCCTGTTTTGTATTTTGTACAAGTTGTGTTTTTAAAGTGCTTTTGAGAAGGAAGCTACTTCTAAAATGAGTTGGGGCAGTGTTTGTTACTGATTTGGGAGCACAGCTGGCCCCAGGCCCGCCCGCCAGCCGCAGTAGCAGTAACTCACGCTGTTGGAGCTCTGCTCCCGCTCTGTACTCCGTTCTTTGAGGCCATTTGTTTTCTCATTTGACTTTCAAAAACATTCTTTATCTGCCGCCAGGGACTCGGAAGTCGATTGTCTGTCCGGGTTTGCGTATAGCAAAGATCTCTCTCAGACAAACAAAGCAGGGAGAGACGTAAAAGCCTGTGCCCTTCAAGGCTCAGCACTTACTTACGCTCCTCCACCAGGTGGTGCAGCACCTAGGCCCCGCGACTGACTTCTACAAGAAGCTCGCTCTAGACTGCTCGGGGCAGCAGACGGCCGTGGACTTGTTCCTGCTCCTGCGGAGCTCGCAGTACGCCGACCTCGCCTCTCTAGGTAAGGGGTGCTGCTGTGTTCACGTGGCCCCTCTCACTCTGAGCATTTACACCCGTGCTCCTCGGCGCGCCCATGCGGGGTTGGTAATAGCTGTGAGGATTTTCAGTATCTGTAAAGCACACTGCAGGCATGAAACACCCTGGTGTTTATGTAACGGGCCTGCCTTTCCACTCTGCGATCGGCCTTCCTGTGTGCTGTGCTATGAGCACGCCCTGGTGTTTATGTAACGGGCCTGCTTTTCCACTCTGCGATCGGCCTTCCCGTGTGCTGTGCTATGAGCGCGTCTGCTTTCAGATTTGCGTGGCATCCCTAGTTTGCAGCCAGGTCCCCACTGGGGCTTAGACGCCTTCCCCGTAAGAGCACGCACTGCTGTGGAGCAGACCCTGTCCCACGCCGACGCTCTCTGCCTCCCCGCAGCCTGCATGTCTAAGTACTCTGCCGGCTGCGTCTATTACTACCCGTCCTTCCACTGCACCCACAACCCTGCCCAAGCGGAGAAGTTGCAGAAAGACCTGAAGCGCTATCTCACGAGGAAGATCGGGTTTGAAGCCGTGATGAGAATACGGTGCACAAAAGGTAGGCACGGTGGGCGCTGTAGGCCCCACGGGCCCAGAGTGCTGTGGTGCCCGCACAGCTCGGTGACCACTGCCAGTTCGACGTCCCTCCAGTGAGGGGCTAAGAGGGGTGTCGGTTTATTCAGGGAGAACCTGTGGGCACCCGTACTGGAGATCTCTGCTCAGGTTAGAGGAATAGGGACGCCCTTAAAGGAGAATTGCCGAAATAAAGCCCTTTGCCTCCATGGTCACCTGATGTACGTCTGCTTAGTGCTACGTGAGTTTCCTGGGCCGCGGGTCCCTCGCCGTCAGTCCCAGATGAGTCGGAGTGCAGCCCTCGTTGGGTTAGCGTTGTCCGGCCGTGTCAGACTTGCCGTCGTGAGAGACGGTGCTGGCAAGAGCGGGTTCAGTGCCCTGAGGCAGGCAGTCTCCGTGCCACCTGCACTGGTCCTCTTTGAACTGGTGTGTTAGCCCCTCTCGGTACGTCCGCTCTTGGTTCGAAATGAGAGGCACAGCTGGCTTCACTGGGCGGGGCTGTGGCTGCAGGTGCCGCTGCCCCGGTCCCTCCCCTTCCACGGCGTTTTCTGTCGCCAGGTCTCTCCATGCACACTTTCCACGGGAACTTCTTCGTACGGTCCACCGACCTGCTATCCCTCGCCAACATCAACCCAGATGCTGGGTTCGCAGTGCAGCTGTCAATCGAAGAGAGCCTGACGGACACCTCGTTGGTGTGCTTTCAGACAGCCCTTCTATACACGTCCAGCAGAGGTAGCGTGTGCAGGGTGGACCGAGCCACTGCGCGCCCCTCACGCGGCCGTCAGTGAGTGGGCAGGAGAGTGTGCCCGTGGGAGGTAGCGGGGTCTGCACTGGTCAGTGCACACGTGCTCTGTGGTTTGATTTCATTTTTCTTCCTAATTTCCAGAGGGCTTGTACATGTGAGAGAGAGAGGGAGAGAGGGAAAGCACTTCCCGTGGGCCATGACCATGCCGCAGTCCCGTCTTCCTCCTTGTGGGGTTTAGGACACTCACGCACGTGTGTTCGTCCAGTATGTCTCCCAAGCCAGGGGGGGCCGGGACTTGAGCTGCATACACCATGTGGGACCCAGCTCCCTTGACCACCAGGCATGGGGCCAGGCGGTGCTCCCTCCCTCCTACCCTGTTAGGACGGGGCACATAGGTCCTCGCACTGCACGTGGCTTTCAGCCTGCCAGGCCGGATTCAAAGCTGGTTCCCTTTACTGCTAGGCCACGGAGCTGGCCCTTCTTTGTTCTTTGTTTTTGTTTTGTTTTGTTTTTTTTAAGAATTATTTCGTTTAACTTTGTTTATTTACTTTTTTAAATTTGACCAGAGACAGAGTGAGAGCAAGTGAGCAAGAGAGAGAAAGTGAGAAAGCAAGCCACCAGGTCCGGGATGCCAACCGTGGTCGGCTGTGTGGGAGGTCCAGTGCCCTTAACCACCACGCCACCTGCTGGCCGCACTTCTTTGTTCTTAACTGACTTTTGAATCTTTAAATAATAAAAGCTTTTTTTTTCTTTGAGAAATTCTTGCTATAGGGCATGGGCACTCGCCAGAAAGACAGGAAGAGACAGAGAGACAGACAGTGAGGAATCACCCCCAGGGAGGATGGGCACGCACGCAATTGCGCCCAGCGTGTCTAAGCCACCGGGTCTGAGACTCAAACCTCAGTCGACCACATGGCAGAACGACATAGCCATTACGCCAGCTGCTGTCCCAGTAATAAGCTTTTTTATCTGTGTTAGGTGCATTTCTGGGGTCATGTGTCAGACTGACAACTTGTGTCGAGTACAGCTGTGCTGCTTTTTGCTTATCTCGTGCCCCATAAAAAACTGCAGACTGGGGCCAGCAGGTGGCATAGTGCTTAAGGTGCTGGGCTCCCCCATGTTCAAGCACAGTTCGAGTCCCGGACCTGGCGTTTTGGAACTCATGAAGGGCATGTGTGCATATGGGCCCAGAATCCGGAGAAGAGAATGGAGGGGAAAGCATATGAGGTGGCCATGCTCCCTCGTGATTTCTCACGTTCTCTGTGTCTGTGTCTCTCCGCCGAGCACACACCCCCTGTAGCAAAATCTCTTTAAAAACAAATTACAGGCTGACCTGTGGTGGGTGAGGGGCTGGATCCTACTTAAGGATGACTGCAGTTGAAGTCCTGGACTCAGCAACTTGAGAAACACACCGGGTGCGTGTGTGTCCAAAATGCCTAAAGGTGGGAGAAATGGAGAAGGGATGGCGACATGACCGTTCCCCAAGGGGGATGCCTTTTCGCTCTGTCCCCTAGCCCCACCGCCTCTCGCCTGTGAGCACACGTGACCTCTGGCAAAACTTGTAATGGCATAACAGCTTTCCCATGTTGTTGGACAGCTCACGTTTTTTGATATTTTACTGTGTTGGATACAATTTAGAATGAGTTACACGAAAATAAAAACTGGAGCCTGTATACGTTCACCTAGATATAAACAATAGCCTGTGTTCGTCATCTGCAGATTGCGAAAGTGCTCCATTGTCAAGAATCTCCGTCGTGAGACTGTTGTGCGTGTCAGCACTGTGCTGCTGACTTCACATGGCCAGGACGGTGACCGGGGTGAAAGTGCGACCTTTGTGCTGTGCTCTGTCTCAGTCTGACGCATTTCTCAGTGACACCGATTGGTTGTTTTGTCTAGGGGAGCGGAGAATCCGCGTGCACTCGCTCTGCCTGCCGGTGGTGAGCTCCCTGGCAGACGTGTATGCAGGAGTGGACGTGCAAGCCGCTGTCTGTCTGCTGGCGAACATGGGTGAGTGCACATGAAGGAACAGGTGAAACGCGTCCTTTCACCCAAGACTGACTTTTTCTTTTAGGTTTCTGATAAGGTGTGTTCATTCTCCAGAGACAGCCAGAGGCAGTGAAAGGGAAAGTGAGAAATCACCCCTCAGGGGGCGCGGCCAGGCCGCAATCCCTTCTCAGTTCTCCTCCTGGGATTGAGCACACACGCGCATGTGCCCAGAGTGAATTTCAGGCTTCCAGGTCTAGGGCTTGAACTGCAGCTGGCTGAGTAGGAGTCCAGCACCTTAACCACCATGCCACCTGCTGGCCCCAGATGCTTTTTTTTTTAACTGCCTTTTATTTCTTGCTATTCTTAGCTTAGAAATGTTTTATGGGATTCATGATTACTAAAGTGTGGTGAAAATTTAAATGTCCTTCCACTAATGAATGTGTGAGCACACCACGGCACGCCTACGGGAGGGAGTGCAGCTCCACGGGGCGGGAGGGCGAGCAGAGACACGATGCTGGAGGAAGAGGCCGCACTCGGACAGTCGCGCGCACAGAACCCCATCTTCATGGCATTTGGAAAGAGGGAAGTGACCAGGTAGAGGACAGGGTTGGGGGACGGTGGGCAGTGGACCCTGCCCCGAGGAGCAGCGGGCGTTGGCGTGCGGGACCGCCGAGTCCCTGTGGCAGTGCTAGCCATGCGTCTGACCCACGTGAAGCTGTGCTCTAAGAGGCGAGTTCTGTTACATGTGGGTTCAGAAAGTCGTCTGGGAACTGATACAGCACCGAGGGCTTTGTTTTTAATGAATGTGTCGTGTAGATGAGTTTAGAAAGAAAGGACCCTCGCTATTTTCCACATTTCTAGAGAAAGTGGTCATTACGACTCATTTGGGGCAAAATTATAATAGCATTTGCTAAATGATTCTGATTTTTAATGTATTTTATCATTGAGATTTTGAGTTAATTGTACCATAACTGATTGTTTTTCTATAATTACGTTTTTAGACTTGGGCTTATGTGTAGGTTCTCTCTATTCTAATAAAGTATTTCATAGAGGAAAATCAATGTCACATTAACCCTTGTGTCTGAGTGAAAACCTATGCTCGCTTCACCCTCTGGTTTATCGGGTGAGATGTTAGAGGCCCCAGGGCCGACGCTGGTCACAGACGCTGCACTGCCATGCGGGGAGCCGGCACTCGGCTCTGTGACCTCCTTCCACGTGCTGGAGGCCTCCAGGCTCTCTCGGAAATAGGCGGCAGCGCATTCTCGGGTGTCTGTGTTTCTGGATTTAGGGGATGAGTCACAGAAAAGTTTGAAAGAATTTAGACTTGCTGTGCTCATCAGATTTAGTTCAGAAAAGCTTGTGTGAGGAGTAGACCCTTAAAACGAGGGGCAGAGAAGGGCGCTTTGCACCCTGAGCGTGTACACGAGCACGCTTATTGCTCAAGCAGCGGGCATGGGTTTTATGCGGTGCCGCTGGGATTCGATGGCTAAGCTCCTTGTGGTTTCGGTTACCCCACAGCCGTGGACCGGTCGGTCTCCTCCAGCCTGTCAGACGCCAGAGACGCCCTAGTGAACGCCGTGGTGGACTCGCTGGCCGCCTACGGCGCCACCGTCTCCCGCATACAGCCCTCCACGCTGGTGGGGG